GGACAGCCCGGCTCGGACCATTGGCCTCAGCCTTCGTGGGCCCGCGGGGACCCCAGTGTCCACCTCGCGGGCGACGGGAGATCTGTGGGCCGCGGCACCCAGGAGGCGCCTCTCTGAGCCTCGGTTTCCCCGTCTGTGAAATTGGGTCACCCCAGCGCCAAGCCGATGAGGAGCTGGCCGATGAGGACAGCCCTGTCACACACAGTACGCTGTCAGTGAGTGACTCACGTCCTTCCCTGTCCTCTTCCTCCTCTGCCGGGAAAACTGTAAATACTGTATTATCACCAGCCAGGAACTGTGCACAGAGCTGCCGAAACAGAATTTTTTATGTTTAGCTTGTTCCTTCAGCCCTCTGGGACTCAACTAGATGGAAAAAGTACTAAAAATGGTTCTCGTCGTACAGGAGGAGGTCAAAGCTCAGAGAAGTCAAGACTCTTGCCCAGGGCCACACAGCAAATAAGGAGAGCTGGGTTTAGAACCTGGATTCTGATGCGGGACCTTTAAAGTACTGAAAAACACATAGCGGGCTCTCTGGGATGAGTGAAGAGGTACAAATGCATTTTTTGTTTGTTTGTTTTGAGACAGGGTCTTGTTATGTAGTTTAGTCCAGCCTTCAATTCACTGTGTAGCCCAGGCTGGCCTTGAACTCCTGTGGTGATCCTCCTGCCTCAGCCTCCCAAGTGCTGGGATGACAGGCGTGCGCCACCACACACAGCAGGAGTGAGTGCATTTCACAGCAGCACATATACGCTAAATAATAACAGTGAGGATTTACTGAGCACCTTCTGGGCTCCAGGTATGCATTGTCAGATCATCCCAACAGCTCTGCAAGCCAACGATGGTAATTATAATAGGAGCTGGTATGAATTGTTTTTTTAAAATGTTTACTAATGTGTAACTTGGGTGTCGTTATGATCCCCATCTTTTTTTTTTTTCTTTTGGTACCGGGGATTGAACTCGGGACCTTGTGCTTGCAAGGCAGGCGGCAGCACCACTGAGCTAAATCCCCAGCCCATGACCCCCATCTTGAAGAGAAGAACGTTGACAGTGCTGGGAGAGCAGCTGCTTAAGATGACACCGTGGGAGGGAGGGTCCTCAGTCCTCTTCAGTGTCCTGTGCTGGGGAGGCGTGGAAAGATTAGGGTTGCCCAGCAGACAGACTCCTGGCACATTTGACAAAGGAAAAAGAGGAGGTCCAGAAAAGCAAAGTCACTTGAGGCAGGACACACAGTCTCAGTGACAGAGCTGGGACCGAAAGGACTTTGGTCTCTGGAGACCAAGACCAGTTCACCAGTCTGCGTAAGTTCAAATCCTGGCACCGTCCCTTCTTGGCTGTGTGACCTTGGGCAAGTAGATGGCTGGCTCTGGGCTTCAGCCTTCTCACAGGTCAAACAGGAATAACGATGGAGCGGTTTTGTTGTGTGGACTCCCTGCCTCCAACTCCTGGGCACTGGGCTGCATTTGCCCAAGGCAGCACCAGAGTTTAAGTCTCGTCTGTAGCCTCCCTACCTTGTGTCCAGTTCCAAATTTGGCCCCATAAATCCGGGTGTGTGTGATATGCATGGACTTTGCAGCCTCTGATTCCTGCTCCCCTCTGAGGCGTGGCCAGGCTGCGGCCTGACCCTCCAAGCCCATTCCTCCACGGAGTCAGGGCTGAGAAATGAACGCAGCCACAGGGCCTGCAGACACCGTGCCAGACCCAGGGCCGGGGACTGCAGTGGGCAAGAGTAACAAGGTCCTTCTTCCCCACGTTCACCGAGCAGCACAAGGACACAAGTGTTTGGACGAGAGCAAATACAGGATTTCAGAGTAATGTGGACGTTAGTGGCGTTTTTAGCCGTGACCAGGAAAGGATTCTCCCGGGAGGTGACCCTTAAGCGGACCCTCACGATGCCTTGAGTGTGTTGAGATGATTCACACTTAGGCAGATTGCTTGGCATCGTCCCAGTCCTTCATAAACCTTAGCTGCTGTTAATGTGTTGGTAATACGTATGCCCGGCATTAGCAGATTTCCCAGCAGCTCCACCTGCCTAGTGCCTCATATACAGGAGCTGTGATGATTCTCGTGACACTCGATTATTTGCAGAAGCGCTAAGGCTGAGGCTGATGCTGGGACTTCCTGCTACTGAAGGCTCAGGTTGGAGGCTTCCCCGCCCAACCATTGAGCTTGAAATTCTAGTTGCAAGCACTTGGAAGGTTCGGTAGCATTCACAAGACAGCAGGCCTTGGCCACTGCCTGCCCGATGTTATCTCAGACATGCAGCCTTCCTCTGGGCTCCTCCTGCCTTGGGCTGATACCTGCTTATCTGACCTCCAGTGGCCCAACTGGGGAGGCCCGGCAGGGCTGAGCTGTTCAGAATGCACTGATCTGTCGGCACATTGCCCTGGTATCAAAAGTTAGTCAATCAACAATTCATGCTGCTTTTGCCCAGTGCACCCGCCTTTGGGTCTCAGATTCTGACTGGCAGGGGTTGGTAAAAACTGACTTGGAGAGCTGGTCATGGTGGTACACGCCCACAGTCCCAGCACTCCGGAGGCAGAGACAGGAGGATCGCCACAAGTTCAAGGCCAGCTACACAGGGAGCTCAAGGCCAGCCTGAACTACATAGTGAGACCCTGTCTCAAAGAAACAAAACCAAACAAAAGTAGACTTGGAACGGGACACTTCAGGTATGTGCCCAGTTGGCACTGGGAGTTCCTAAACAACACAGTTGTTGCAGACTTTGGGCCCTAGTTTTGGGGGACAAAGGCCCAGGGGTTAGACAAGCAGGGGACAGAGATCCTTGATCGGGGCACCTTTGCCGGAGAGGTCTGTGTTGCTTTTAAGGAGCTCTCCGAGGGAAGTTTGCAGAGTGGTGGGAAAGCCCAGCTCCGAGTCTTGCTGGCTGGCTCTGGGGCTGAGCTAGAGACTGGCTTGGCCCCTTTTTGCTGAGCAGACCCCAGGCGGAGTGTAGAATATTCGGAATCTGCCTAGGGCTCCAGAAGTTTCCCTGTAACCTCCCCGTGGGGACCTAGTGGTGGCTCAGAGCAGCTGCTTGCTCTCCTGGGACTGAAGCTGCCTCTGTCCTTGTGGCTGGAGTTACCTCCTTGGCCTGGGGTTTCAGGAGTGCACAGCCTGACAGGAGCCGGGAACAGAAGGGTCAGGGTGACTCACGCTTCCGGTCTGCAGGGCCTGGTCGCTAGGTCTGGCCGCTGCGGTCTAAGGCAGCCTCCTTTGCTCCGAGACCAGCCCAGCAATTCTAAACCGGCACAGCTTGGTTCTGGCCCCAGATGGAGCCGAGCAGAGGCCCTGGGATGTGGTAGGTGCTCAGTAGTGGCCAGATGTTGCTTCTTCCTGCGCCTGGAAAGATGGTGGTGGTGGGGCACTGGGCTTGTGTGGCTTTTCTTTCTCTCTCTGTTTTTTTTTTTTAGTTTTTTGAGACAGGGTCTCACTGTGTAGCCCAGGTTGGCCTTGAACTCCCGGTCATCCTCCTGCTTCAGCCTCCCAAGTGCTGGGATGACAGGCATCCACAGCCATGTCCAGCCTTATTTATTTATCGGCAACAAGTTCTCGCTAAGTTTCCCAGTCTGGCCTTGAACTTCCAACCCTCCTGATTTAGCCTCTCCCACAACCCCTCAGTAGCTGGATCTGCAGGAGGCACCTGACTTGCCTGGCTTTTCTCAGAAGAGTGAGAGCTAATGTATCCTGTGCCCATACTGTCTGCCAGGCAAAGCCCCACTTTGCAGATCTGGTAAACTGAGGCTGAATGTGGTGTGTCCTTGTCTGTGGTCCCTTGAGCCCGGAGGAGAGGGAACTCAAGTCTCGGCCCACGGAGGTTGCTAACTTTGCTCTTAATCTCTCCGCCCTCCCTTCTCCCCAGGCTCCTGGGACCATGGGCCCTGGGCCCTGAAAACACAGGGCTCCCTGTGGCCATGACGACAGGCGACTGCTGCCACCTCCCAGGCTCCCTGTGCGACTGCTCCGGCAGCCCTGCCTTCTCCAAGGTTGTGGAGGCTACGGGCCTGGGGCCCCCACAGTATGTGGCGCGGGTGACTTCGAGGGACGGCCGGCTCCTCTCCACCGTCATCCGGGCCTTGGACGCGCCAGGGTGAGTGACGGCCCGGCGGTGCCTGGACTTTGTGGCTTTTTTCCCTCTGGGCTAAACGACTTCCTGCTGGTCTGGGGCCAGAAGTCCAAGCATCCAGAGAGGCTGGCTGGGCAAACTCACTGTGTGGAATCAGAACCCCTGGCCAGTCTGGCTCTTTAGGCGGAGCCCGAATTCCAGTTGTTATGCAAAGTCTGGAAGTCCCACGTTTGTCAAGAACTCGCACTGCAGACAGGTTTTTTTTGAGACAAATACTCACTAAGTTGCCCAAGCTGGGTTTGATATTGTGATCCTCCTGCCTCAGCCTCCCGGAGTGCTGGCATTACAGGTAGAAGGAGCAAACAGGAGCGCAGCCATGTGCCCAGGCACCTGGCTCAGTTCCCCAGTTGGGTACCTTCCTTCCTCTCTGAGGGACCCTGGGCAAGTTACCTCAGTGCCATGCCTCTAAAATGGGAACGTCTTCCTGATCAAGCCATTCCGAGAAAATGAAGATCTGGTCTGCAGAAGGTAGTAGTTGCCACCCTGCAAGCTTTCAATAAATGCGCAGGTGTTCCTGATTGATCATGGGCTTATATCTCAGTAAACCGACTGCAAGTTCAAAGCATCATCAACTGAAAAATGCATCAAAGCTGGGTCTGGTGTTGCACGCCTGTAAGCCCAGCTACTCGGGAGGCTGAGGCAGGAGGGTCATAAATCTCAGCATTTCCCCAGCAACTTAGTGAGACCCTGTCTCAAAATAAGAAAAATACAGGGCTGGGGATTTAGTTCCGCGGGCACTGGTGCCTGCTTGGCAAGCAAGCATCAGGTCCTGAGTTCAATCCCTGATACCGAAAAAAGAAAAAGAGCAGATGACATAGCTCCAGGTAGAACGTTTGCCTAGCGCACAGGAGGCTCTGGGTTTAATCCTCAGGACCCCACAAAGCAGTTTAGCAGCACTGTGGCGTCCTAGTTGTTCAAGCCTGGTAGATGGCAACATTTAGGTCACTCTGCTGCCAAGTATTCAAAGAGATGCCCAAGGAAAGATCGAAACTCAAAATTGGGACCGTGATTTGTATTGAATGTGTATTGTTTTTTGTGCCATTGTGGACTTGAAGAAGGGCTCATCTAACCACCTGCCTGTGCTTAAAACTCCATGTGAGGAGCTGGGTCTGGTGGCGCACGCCTGTGATCCCCACACTTGGGAGGCTGAGGCAGGAGGATGGCTGTGCGTTCCAGGCCAGCCTGCCTGGGCCATGTAGTGAGATATGATCTCGAAAACAAAACAGAGCCAGTCTGACCTTACTTTACCCGTCAGCCCTCGGGACACAAGGACCGAGGGGAGGAGGGGCAGAGAGGTCTGGACTGAACTGCCTACAGGGGCTGGGCAGCCACCCACACATTCTGGGAGGCTGAGGACCATAAGTCCAAGTTCTAGCCCCGCCTGGGGGACTTAACAGTTTGGTAAGATCTTGTCTCAAAAATGAATGAGTATATAAAGGGCTGGCGATGTAGCTCAGAGCAGAGGTCCTGGGTTCCATCCCCAGTACCAAAGAGGAAGGCCCAGGAGAATCCACAGGGACAGAGGGGCCTGGGGCGCTTTGTGTCAAATCTAGGACCAAATGAGCACGGGGCAGACTCAACCTCGTGGGCACACAGTAAGTGCTCAGTAAAGTTTTTGCTAGCTGAGGCAGGAGCGTCGCCGCGAGTTCGAGGCCAGCCTGAGCTACACAGAAAGGAAAGAGTGTCCCAGGCCGAGGGTGTAGCTCCGTGGTGCTGTGCCTGCCTGGTGAAGTGCAAGATCCTTTGTTCAATTCCCCGCTACGGGGAACAAAAGTAAATAAATAAATCAAAACGAGTGTTCCAGGGTTCCCCAGCACCCTCTCCGTCTCTGGCACGCCCACTTCCCCAGCGGGAAATCCTGGAGCAGGATTCCAGTCCTGTGTATGCGGAGTGAGATGCGGGTAGCAGTGCGAAGAGAACTCCCTGCCTGGGCCTGCGCAGTCCCTGGGGCTCCTTTCAGATCAGCCAGGCCCTACCCTGTGGCTCGAAAGCCTGAGAAAGGGAAAGAAAACAGTTTCTGAAGGGAAGGAAAGGCACGGGTTATCTGGCCGGCAGCTTCCGCCCTGTGCTCCCAGCAGCCTCTGCCCGGGAGCGGAAATGTTTGGAAAACAATGACTCAGGCGCTGGGAAGGCGGCCACTCTGCTCTGGCTACACCTGCCCGCGGTGGCGGCGAGGCCCCCAGGCCCTGGACGCTTTCCCCAGGTGGCTCCGCGGGTGCTTTTGCCATCCGTGTTCCCCAGGCAGGGGCAGAGAAGCCGCAGCTGAGCGATTTGCCCTGGGCAGGGGCTTGATCCAAGAATCCACCTTTCTCTGTCCTTGGCCCTACTTTATTCTGTTGGTATCGTTGGGAAACTCCAGCGTCCACATGGCTGCCAGCAGTTCCGGGCTGACTTCAGCCTTGCTGTTTTCATGTTTGGGGAGGGGGGAAAGAATTTCAGAAACTGGAGAAAGAAAAAAAAGCTGGATGTGGTGGTGCACACCTGTCATCCCAGCATTGGGGAGGCTGAGGCAGGAGGATCACCATGAGTTCCATTTCAACCTTGGCTACATAGTGAGATCCTGTCTCAAAAAACTAAAACAAACACACACGCGGGTGCGCTGAGAAAAGAAAATAAATGTATTCTCAGTGGATCTGATTGTGTCACAGAGGTCCTCCTCTGAATTGATTCCCACAGTTGAAGTTTGTGCTGTTCTATTGGTCATGCTCAAGGTCACCTGACTGTCACCAACCCTGCATTTGTCCTGAGGGCCAAGGTAGTTGCCCAGGGTAATCAGTACTATAGGGGAAGAGGGAAAGGACATCTGGGCAGGAAAGTACACAAGAGGCTCTTCCTGAGCCTAAAATGGTGCCACAAAAGGCCCCAGGGAGGAAGTACCTCATTCCGCCTGTGGGAGTCAGACTTCTGAAAGGAGAGGACATTTGGACATGGGCTTTGAAGGATGAGTAGGAGTTTGCTGACATGGGGGCAATGATGTAGGAAGTCCAGTCACAGCTCACAGGTCTTGTCTCTGTCTCTAGTGACTGTCCCTTCTGCCGGATCTGCCACGAGGGGGCCAACGGGGAGAGCCTGCTGTCTCCATGCGGCTGTACGGGCACACTGGGGGCTGTGCACAAGAGCTGCCTGGAGAAGTGGCTCTCCTCATCCAACACCAGCTACTGCGAGCTGTGTCACACGGAGTTCGCAGTGGAAAAGCGGCCCCGACCTCTCACAGAGGTACCAGGAGGGCCCTGAGAGGGGCGGGCAGAGGGGCTGAGGGAGGTGGGGACAGAGCTGTCCTCAGGGGTCTCCTCGGTCCTGTTCCCGGGTTGGCCCCTGCTCCTCCGTTCAGATTCACTGTCTCAGGCAGGAGGATCCTAAGTTCAAGCCCAGCCTGGGCAACTTAGTGGTTTGGCAAGATCCTACCTCCAAATCAAAAATAAGAACAAAGGCTGTGGATGTAGCGTAGCGTGAGGGCCCTGGGTTCCATCCCTAGTGCCGGAACAGAGAACTGTCTCATTTGCAAGTGCTTCTTGATCCTCTCAGGGTGCCCGCTGTTGTGTCTGATCGGGGACCCAGCCGCCCCCATGGCTGATGCATGCGGAGATCACTGAAGTGGTTGGTTGCAGTGAAAGAAGTTGCCCAGACTGGGCTCAAACTTGTGACCCTCCTGCCTCAGCCTCTCAGAGTGCTGGGATTACAGGGGTGTGCTATCTCGCCCAGATAGTTTCATGTTTTGACGAAGCCCCGAGTGGCTGGAGAGGGTCAAATTCGAGGTGGCCATGAGTTGTGTGCAGGCATTTAGACTTCAGCCTATGTGTGATGGTCAGGACCACGACAGTACAGTTGCCAGGCATGGTGGATGCTCCTCCCTCCTGGCCTGGCCTGTTTGGAAAAGCCCTGGCCCACTGAGAGCTGGGCTCTAAGGAGAGCAGCAGTGACAGGGTCCAAGCCCCTGCCTGAGCCCCTCCTCTTTCTCGTCAGATTTGCATGGTGCTTGTCCAGTCCTCCTTTCCTACCCCAGGTCCTTTGTACCTTCTGCACCCGCAGTCCAGAGCACTGTTCCTCCCTTCCACGCCCAGCTCATTCTCCTGGGCCAGTCAACCCTCCCTCCATGAGCAGCCACCCCCTCTGTGCCTCCCTGCTAGTGAGAGAGGGCAGCGACCCCATTCACTGAGATTGTGTGATCAATGTCTTTCTCTCGGTCTGTCACGTACAGGAGGCACTGATGCATATAGAGGCTGAGACCTCCGAGGCCCCAGGCAAGACTCCCTAGTTTCTAGTTCTGGTTGGTTTATAGACTACAGGTTGAAAAATCCCTTATCTGAAATACTTGCAACTGAAGTATTTTGGAGTTTGAATTTTGTTTTTACCTTTTTTGGTTTTTGACGCAGGTTTTCTCTGTATAGATCAAGTTGCCTTTGAACTTGTGGAAATCCTCCCGCCATGGTCTCTCAAGTTCTGGGATTACAGGCACAAGCCACCATACCTGGCTTTGAATTTTTTTTTTTTTTTTTTTTTTTTTTT